TTTTATTTACATGCCTTTTTCAACTATTTGTTTATTTAGTAACGATATTTGTCTTGGTGTGGGTGTCCATAAAGTTATATGTGTTTATTTTAATTAGTTTATGAAAACTAAACCATTGTAACTTATCAACGCTAAATAAATTTTTAAAAAATAAAAAAATGTTAGGCATTTTAATGCAATATCTGTGACACCAAATTCATTCTTAATACGGGTAATCAGCAGGTTGTAATTGATTGTATTAAATCCTGAAGATATGTCTAGAGATAGGAGAATAGTGGTCAAACCATTATCAATGTTTAGCAGGATGTCATTGCATATTTTTAAGAGTGCTGTTTCGGCTGTGTGATAAGATCTAAAACCAGGTAGATGATGTTACGCGTGAATGAAGGCAAGATAAAGCAATCTTTTTAAGAATTTTTGAAATTGTATTGAGATTTTATATGGGGCATAGAATTGTTAGGTCAAATTCTACTAGTCCTAATCTTTTAGTATTGGTGTTATTTGAGCAACTTTATATGATTCTGGGAAAATTCTGGATTTGAAAAAGAGGTCAGCATGATGAGCTATAATTAGACTGAATATTTCTGAACATGATTTAAGGATGTTTTTGGAATTATATCAAGTGGCGATGTCTTAGGTTTGATAGTTTTGATTAATTTTGACACATCTGTAGGGGTGACTGTACCAAATGTTGTTAAGATATCTACAGGGGGAGATAACTCTGAAATAAATTTAGATATTGGGGTTTTTGCAAGCCTTTCCTAAATAGTGTTCTTTATAATTTCAAGTTTGCGTATGAAATATTGACTTATTATATCGCATTTTGCTTCTGGTATTGTGTTATTAGTTTTAGAATTATTCAAATGTAGTAATTTCTTGGCAATGTTCCATGTTTCTTTTTGATCACCGTGTGCTGAATTTAGTTTCGCCTTATAATTACTACATTTGGATTTATGAATTGCAACTGCTGCCTCACGGCATGCAGTTCGATATAATTTTTTATCTAATAAAGTAACAGTTTTTTTATAACAACGCTCCAGTTTACGATGTCTGATTTTTTTATTCTTGGCATCTGAAGTTCCTCTAGGGGCTCAGATAATTGCAAGTTATTGGAGTTGTACCTGGGCAGTTAAAGTCACCACACAGAAGTATTTCTCCAGATAATGGTTGAAGTTCCTCTAGGGGCTCAGATAATTCGAAAAAGAAAATTTTTGTTGGAATGATTGGATTTGATCGATAAATAGCAATTGTATATATAATTTTTTATCTAATAAAGTAACAGATTTTCTATAATAACGCTCCAGTTTACAATGTCTGATTTTTTTTTTTTTGGCATCTGAAGATAAAAATTTATCATCATGTTTACCTTGTGGCTTTGAATATTTTCGAATGGGTGCTATATGATCAAGAATAGTTGTTATACTTGATCTTATTTGTTCAGCATAATCGTCCACGTTGTTTTCAGGTGATAATCAACATGGCATCACTTGCAATTCTTTTATAAAGCATGACAAGTTTAGTTTTCTAAAGTTTCGTTTTGAAAACCAAACAGTTTTAGTATTTGAACGTTGATGATAAAGTTCTACTCGAATCATATAGTGATATGAAATACCCTCGTCAGTTACTTGGATACTCTTGAGTGAAACATCATCATGTCGATTTATTACTAGATCAAGCAAGTTGGCTATACCAGTAGTAGATGATATGCGAGTTGGAGATTGAACTCGTTGTATCATGTTGTAGGTGTCCAAAATCTTATCAAGTCTTGAATTGCAAGTTATTGGAGTAGTACCTGGGCAATTAAAGTCACCACAGAAAAGTATTTCTCCAGATAATGGTTGAAGTTCCTCTAGGGGCTCAGATAATTCGAAAAAGAAAATTTTTGTTGGAATGATTGGATTTGATCGATAAATAGCAATTGTATATATAAATATAATTGTATTAATAAATATTGTAGATAGTGTTTGCCAGATTTAGTTTAGCCAGTGTACGTTCGTAAGACAGACAGGTAGACTATAATGAAAGTGGTTTGATATTTAAGTTGTCTCTACATATTATTGCAACGCCTCCTCCACGATGGTCTGATCGGCAGTATTGAATTGTTTTAAAGACTGGTGGGGCCATATCTTCTTTAATTGCAGTAGGTTTGTCAGACTTTATCCAAATTTTAGTGAGTATAAAAATATCTAGAGAATGATTTTGCACTATACCATGAATGATAGCAGATTTTTTTATGGCAGATTGAACATTTTGGATACCCAAGTTTAATGCAGAGGTAATCAAGTTTAATGCAGAGGTAATCAAGTTTAATGCAGAGGTAATCAAGTTTAATGCAGAGGTAATCAAGTTTAATGCAGAGGTAATCAAGTTTAATGCAGAGGTAATCAAGTTTAATGCAGAGGTAATCAAGTTTAATGCAGAGGTTCTTTTAATTTTTATATGTAAATTATGCCAATTTAATTTCGATCTATTTGAGTTCCCCTGATTGAAATAATATTTTTTTCCATCGTGCACATTGTATCATTGCCTCCCATTTGTTCCTTAAACCTCTTGAGCAAGTGCTTCATTTCTAGTATTTCTAACTTTTCTGAGTTCACTTTTTCTCTCGTTTGCTGTTTTGTCTTTATTAATAAAAACATTTTTGAAGTTAATACTGTCTTTTAACTTTTTAGAATTTTTAATTATAAAACTTTGAGTTTCTCTATTCTCCAACTCAACTGAGATGAGGTTAGGTGGTCCTTTAGCATTTTTAGTCGAATTATTCTTTTTGCATTTGTTATTGAAAAATCTGGTTTAATTGCTATTAGTATTGTTTCAATGGTTTGTTTATCATTTTCTTCATTAATTTGTTTGTCTGAAGTAGTATGATTAGAAAATCGAATTATAACGATGTTGTTTTCAATTCTTTTTTTATTATTAAACTCATTTGTAATTTTTTCTAATATTACCACTTCAGTTTGTTTTGGTTTTAATTGATTTTTCTGAATTGATGTTGCTTGTACATATGAGAATATTGTTGTTGGTTTATTTGTTGTTGCTGTTAAGACATTTATCTTTTCATCTTTAAGAATTTTAGGTCGTTTTAAAAGGTCTAAAACAATATATGATGATTTTCCACACCATTTATGCGTGTTTTTGGTAACAAGGCATTCATAGTCGAATTCCATGCTTTTTTTTTCTTTTAAATATATGAGAGGGTTCCCACCCTGAATAACAGGGTGGTAACTATATAACTATATATATAATAATAATAATAATAATAATAATATATATATATATATATATATATATATATATATATATATATATATATATATATATATATATATATATATATATATATATATATCTATATATATATGCATATTTATGGACGATCCTATATAAAGTTAATTCCCCGTAACTCGAACCTCCGAAAAAAGTATTATGTTATTTATGGGCGATCCTATATAAAGTTAATTCCCCGTAACTCGAACCTCCGAAAAAAATATTATGTTATTTATGGACGATCCTATATAAAGTTAATTCCCCGTAACTCGAACCTCCGGGGAAAATGGTTCGACTTCCTGTAATGCCAAGCTTTGGCTGATTTGATATATTAATTATATATATTTTTTAAAAAAGAAGTCATTGCTTAAAGTCAAATTTTTTCAGATAACTCAAACTTTTTGTATGATACAAAATGTTCGAGTTATCCGAAGAAATTTGCTGAAAGGGAACAAAAAAATGGTTCTTTTAATAGTAATCAGACGATGTCAATATCTTTTGGGATTTTATTACTTTACGTTTTTAAAGATTTCAAAACGTATTTCATTTCTACAAACATCATCTTCAAGAGTTTTATTGTAGTATTGTTTAGTTTAACTCTAAATACTTTGTATGTAAAAAGTTTATACTTTTTATTTTATATTTTACATAATAAATAAAATTATATTTTTTTTAAATACTGGTTTTCCTAATAATTTTTAGATAACAAAATTTAATATGAAAACTTTATAATTTGATTATGATGAGACAGGTTAGGTGATTTAAGATAAATTGTAATAAAGTGAGATGAAATTAATGAATGAAAAACTGTAATATATAATAATAAATTGTATTAAAGTGAGATGAAACTAATGAATGAAAAACTTGAAGTATTTTACAAAATACAAATAAATATTTAGAGCCTCATATACAAATATTAAATTTTTATTAATGTAATTTATTTTTCAGTTATATTATATTCTGTGCTCCCCAGTAAGCACAGGACGTTTTTAAAACGTTTAAAAAACTTATTAAAACGAATATTAACGTTTTTTAAACGTTTTAAAAACGATCTGTGCTAACTGGGTCGTGTGTTAATAATAATATCTTTTTATAAAGATTACTTTTTTCATGTTTCCTGATTGTTTTATTATTAGCTTAGGTTTTAATTTTTAGTCACTTGAAAACTAGAACATTTTTATGTAGCTATCTATAAAAGGAATAAGATATTATAGTTTAGTTTTTAAAAAAGTAAAACTATCTGGAAGAGTAATTAAGGTATATATTGGAATTAAAATAATCGATTGAGAATCGACAAATTTATTTCCGAAGATACGATAAACTTACGAGTTGCTCTTGTGTTCAGTTTATTGGTATGAATATTTCATTTTTTTAACAGGTTATTGCATATTAACAGGGTATTGCAGTACGTTTTAATAATATAATATTCAGATGTATATTTTTGTCGTCAATAGAGGGACGTCTTGTGTATACTTCCTTATGTCATTTTGGAGTAACTACATGCAATTTAAACATTTTTTTTTAAATACCGGTGTTTTAGTATTATACCTTTTTGATACCGAAAAACCGGGTTTTGATGCTTTAAAAAAAAATTAATCTAAGCATTTATTTTGTACATCTTTGTTTATATTTGTACACCTCACTCCAAATGTCACTAGGTTTAGTGAAAGCAAATTAAATCCAATGAATATTACCAAAAGAATATAACTTTTTAAGTTAGTAATGTAAATATATATTTATACAAAAAGTATTTATAATTAGGAAAAAAAAAACAATAAACAATTATAAATAAGTATTTAAAAATTATTAGCTAATAAAATACAAATATTAGTTTTATATTGTTGTTGAGTTGTTTAATATTTGTTAAAATATTTAGGAACCGTCTTCCCACATGCTACTTTTTGCATTGATGTTATCAAGATTCAAATTGTTATCAAGTCGTTTGATTTAATTGATTTAAAGATGCTAATTTATGAAATATTAAAATATGGGATTTATTTGTCATCAAAAATTTAATATATTTTTTTTATATATTGGATCTATCAGTTTTAATATGTTAAACTCTTTAGGAACCGTCGTCCCACATTCCTTTTTTTGTATGAGCGTAATGAAAAAGGTTAGGAACTCTAAGACGATCTATCTCCAATCCGTTCTTTATCACACGATCAACAAAATCCCAATCTTCTCCTCCTCGAGTATCTCGATAAAGAAATTTTTCTACATTCATCCCTAAAAAAAAAATATAAAAAATGCATCACATAAATTTTATGTATGTCGTTTAAAACAAAAAAGTATATTTATTTGTAAGTAGGACACACCGGAGATAATTGACTTTTTTCAAGTTCTAAAATTTTTTAATTTTTTAGTTTTTGAGGTCTGTTCTATAAAAATTTTTAAAAATGTATAAAACTATTTCAGTTTAAAAGAACTTGATTTCAACAAGAATATTGAAGAATTTAACACTATTTAAAAAGTAAATTTTTACCCAAAAGAGGCCTTGCAATAGGAAACCCCACGTCCAGGAGTAAGTTGTCTATATCAACAAGATAGCACACCGTTAAAAAAAAAAGTTTAGAAATATTAAGTAACATTAACTCAATTGAAACTATTTGTGAAAACTGTTAATAATTTTTAACAAACAATAAATTAGCTAACCAATAAAGTTTCATCTGAATTTCAGAAATTTCTAATAGAAAACCTCAAGATTGAAAAGATACGGTCAACTTATTTTTTTAGTCAATTAGCCCCGGTCTCTTCTATAGGGTTATACAGTATTATACATTTTTAACCTACCACCGGTTCTATCCCAATCGCTTTTGTAAATTCCAAAAATTTCATATCCAAAAATGTCCCAAAATCCTGCTGGGTTGTGACAATACCTACCACAAGCCAGTTTCATTTGCAGTGGAGAATAAGCCATTTTACCTTGAACGCAGTGCTAAACAAACTAATAGTTTTAAAACACTTGAATGATTAGTGTATAACTTTTATTATTATTGTTACTTAAAGGTTATTTTAATTTTAACTTCAAATAAAATTTGATAACTAATAATATTTTATTAATTAACAAATTTTTTTTTTTTGAAAATTACAATTAAAAAAATCTTTGAAATTAAAAATATAAAACTCCTAACTTTTTATAAAAAATTAGTGTTTTTTAATTAGATGAAGAAGGTTGCAATTTAATTAGATGAAGAAGGTTGCAATTTACAAATTTTAAATCAAAATGCTTTTTCAAGCAATCCTTCTTATAAATTATATGTTCATATACATTGTATTAATAATACAATACATTTATATAATGTATAATATATATATAAAGCATTCATAAATAATAACCTTATGTATTGTTTTTTTTATTGTTATGCAAGTCAAAACACCCAAACAGTAGTAGATGACACATTTAGACATATTATATAATTACAGGAACAGGGTTATTGTGCGAGCAAGAAGAATAATTATCTAAGTTTTATTAGATTATGTACATTATATTTAATAATGTATCGTCAGCCCGGAATACAAATGTCGTATACGACGCTGTGTTTAAATTGAGGAATTTGCGTTCAAAGTTTTAAGTAAAAAATCCTTCATCTAAATTTATTTTTATGTTGAAACTTAACAAAGTTAACTAAAATCAGTATAAACTTTTATTCAAGTTGTTAAAAAAAAAACTTTCCCCGTAACTAAGAGCACTGTTTTTCAAATACGACAAATTTATTTCGAAATCAAAACATTTTGTCGGGATACAATTGTCATAGATGCAATTAATTTGATAGTAGGTGAATTAAGGTTAAATTTACTAATATTGTAACTAACAATGACTTGTAACTTTAGAACAATTTTATTTTTACTGTCTTTTACTGCTTCTTATACAAATATACTTATTAATAAATTGAGTATGATGTAAGGTTTCACTTACTAAATTTATAAATAACTAAATATTCACAACTTTTTCCTTTTTTACATTATGCAATTTTTATTAATATTACTTATTTTCAATAATTGAAAAATAAAATAACTAATTTATCACACATATCTTTTAACTTGTCTGTGAAAAATGATATAAATAAGTTAAACCTTAAATATAAAAAACAACCTTTTGCATTATACCTTTTTTTTACAATAAAAAAATAAATATTTACAATGTTTATTAAAACATTTTACAAAATGATATATTTAATTGTCCAGACTTTGTAACTTAAAAAGAGTATTATAAAGTTCAAGATCATCACCATCAAAAAATTTTACCATTCACTCAAATTCATTAATTTTTTTATCTGAGAGTAAAAAACGTATTTGAATAACTTTTTAATGGAGGAAATTTTTTCAGAACTTTAACTTTCTGTTTTTTTACGAGTTACCATTTACCGATCTTTCTTTAATTAACAGACCTAAGAGCAATTTTTTGAATATAATATAAAAAGGTAGATGTTTTTTATGACACATAAGTTTTACTTTAGCAAAAGGCAATTTATGGAAATATAAAGACTTGGAAGCAAGTTTGAAGTTTTTGAAGTCATCTTTGTACATTTGTATGACTTTCAATTCTACTGCATAAGGTTTTTCAATAGATAACAATAATTTTAATAAGGTAGGAGGAGTGCAAATCTCATAATGCCTTCATTTTTTCTCAACCACACTATGCGCAGTGTCAATATTTTGTACTGAATTATGACCAGGTTTACTATACTTCTGTTCAATGAGTGGTATTCCGGTTTCATTTAGAAAATTTTTTATTGCCATAGGCACAAATTTTTTTTTCCATAGACAGAGTTCTTATTCTGGGGAGCACAAGAATCAGATTTCAAAATAATTTGATTAATTGATAAATTAGGACAGTCTTGATCAATTAACTTTAATAGTTTATACAGACAATTTGCAAGTTTATTTGCACCTCTACCAACCATAGATTTATTCCAAAGTGCACAATAAGTTTTTATATTCAATGATTAACGGGTTATGAAATCAAAGCAATTTAAATTTCTTTTATAATAGAATGCAGAAATATTAGCAATCGGAAGGGAAAATACTTTTTCTAAATCAAAGGTTATAACTGCTTTGGTGTTTTAAACTCCATTAGCAACTTTAGCTATATCACTTTTTTACTTGTTTAGTTAATAACTTACTCTCTTTATGCTGCAGTATTTTTTGATCATCTACTTTGTTTTTATACTCTAGACATATATCACAAAAATCTTTCTTTGGTTTATGAAATGCCAAATTAAACTCTTATTAAAAGTTGAATAATAAACATCTTTTTATACATTGAACTTTGGGTAAGCTTGTGTAAACAATATGTACATTTTAATTGTACTCAATGGCGACTCTAAATATTTTTTGTTAGTATTCTGTTTGCAACAGTGTGAACCAACTGTTGGAAAACTATTTATATGTTCTCTAATCTTATCTAAGACTTGATTAGGAGTTTTTTTACAAACCATTTTTCCTCTCTTTGGGGACCTTGGTAGTCCACTTACATACTTTATTTACCATGTTATTAAGATTACAGTAAATTCTTCTTTCACTGATATCTTCAAGAATTTATTTAGAATGTAAAAATAATTATCTTTATAAAACTATTCGAGCACAAGACGTATTGTAATGAAATCTTTGTACACAAGTATTTTATATTTACTTTTCATTGTTAGGAGAAATGATACAAGAAGAAAAAGATAAATTAGTAGATTCTTCTGCTACATATCCAGGAGTCTCTTCGACTATTTGGTGGTTAGACTCCAACACTATTGGTATCGGATTATCATGATAACCCGATACCAATAGTGTAGGAGCCTAACGACCAAATGGTCGAAGAGACTCCTGGATATGTAGTCCTGGAGTATTTTATGGCTTTTGATGCTGATATCAGCATATCAATTTTCATTTACTGAACATTTCAATTCAATTCAAAGAAAACAAAAAACAATTCAATATAAAAAAATAAATTGAATGTATTACTTTTTATTTACAAAAAACATGTGTTAGGGATATGTCTCTTCCATTTGATATAAGAAAGCACTTTTTATGTGAGAAATTTAGTCTATCAATGCTGAAACGATGCTGAAAATCTTTCTAAAAACGATGCTGAAAATCTTTCTAAAAAAACGATGCTGAAAATCTTTCAAACGATGCTGAAAATCTTTCTAAAAAATTAAAATTTAACGGGAATAATGATTTATTTTATCAAGAGTATTATGGACTGTTAAGTAAAAATTTACTAGCTTCACACTTCAGCAATATAAGCTTAAGTAATACACTACTCACTGAAATTTCTTCTTTTATATTAAACTATCTTACTGGTGTAAAACCGAATTTTGTTGAAACTGTAGATACAACTCAAGAAATTTAGTAATAATTTAAAATTAGTAATAATTCATTTATGTATAGCCAACAGTGTGTTTCAATTTTGCTGCGCTGCAGAGTTATGGAAGATAATACTCAGACTCTTGTAAATATTAGAGATTAACAATGTAAGTAAGTGTTCTAGCAAACTCTTACTAACTTCAGTTGATTCTGGATCATTTGAAACTTGTTTATAAAGAGCCTAACCAGATCTTCAGGATCTAGTTTTGAAGAAACTTTTGTTGTTTTTCTCCGAAAAATGTTTTCGCATGTCAGAAATAGATCTTGAATTATATTGTTCATTTTCCATAAACCTCCTCTAGGTTTAAACTTGATCATTGTTTTAAAAATAAAGAAAAATAGTCAAAAGTATTTGTATTTCTTAACCTAAATAGCAGATATTTGTATTAAGTTAGTATTAGGCCTCTCTTGCATGTTTTTATTATAACTTTATTGTTGTTTTCATAAATTCCTCAGTTTGTTTGGAACCTCGAGTACCCACTTTTCACTTTCACCCCAAATATATATATATATATATATATATATATATATATATATATATATATATATATATATATATATATATATATATATATATATATATATATATATATATATAATTAAATAGATTAAATTTGAATTTAAAAATCTAAATTTAAAGATCTTCCTTGTTTTTCTGCTTGATATTGACCTAAGACTTAAACTAAATAACCCTCTCTCTCTGCATAACTACAGAATACTTATCACAAAATCTACTCACCAAAAGTTTTAAAATAAAAAAAGCATTTCTTTGTCATTTTAAAATAAAAAAAGCATTTCTTTTTTTTTAGTTTGAAGTTTAATGCTTATGTTAAAAAAAAGAAATCAAGTATTAGGATTTTTTGAGAGACAAATTGTGTACATTTTTGCTGTCTTTGAACCCTTTTGTATGCAAAAATAAAATCACATACATATATTAGTCACTTGTACAAGTAAAAACTTCCATTATAATCAGGCTTTAATAATTGTCGACCTTAAAAACCTCCTAAATTTTGATTTGTCAAAAAATAGGTTTTCATTTATTTTTCTCCATAGTAAAAAAGTAAAATAGCAGTTAAAAAAATGTGCATTTGACCAGAAGCCACACTAGAATGGAATTCTACTCTAATTTAATCGTTTTCTGTACAAAACTCTCATCCACACTTTTATTAAGATTGCCTCCCCTCTTTCTGTTTATTAGAACAAGAATAAATTTTCATTTCCACCCCCATTGTATGAAGCACGCAAGAGTACTAATGTAAGAATCTTTATTAAAAAATCCCATAATCTAATACTAAATCTTCTTGAACTTTCATTTCATCAAACGGAGTAGTAACAAAGCGTTCAGAGCTTGAGAAATAAACAGTTTTATTTGCAAGATCATTTATGACTTTAGAATTAAAACCTCTTTAAGGATGTATATAAGTTTTGTAGTCTCTCAAGGTGCGTAAACTTGGAAGAACTAAAAATCAGTTTTACTATCAAAACGCAAAGAAGAATATGCTTTTTAAGATTTAGCTGCTAGATTAAAAAAATATTTTAATACCATTGGATGGTACCTAACACTACACGGACTAGAAG